TCATATCAGATGATTTCAAAGAGAGACTACTGGACCAAATGCCTGAGGCATTTTAAACTACAAAAGGCAGAGCGTGCATGCTGAGTTTATGAACTGTACCACACACTCTGATTATAGAAACTCTCTATATCTACCTTTTTAAGGTTGGTTATATCCTCCATAATCTGAATTTAAATGTTGTTTCACTTGTGCACAACATCCTGCTTTGTGGCACATGGATAAGCAAACTGACCATTCTGTTGTGACAAAAAGCGGAAAGTTCACCTTATGAGGAACAAAAAAAAAAAACAGAAGATAAAAACAATATAACATGGAACAACATGAGGGCAGGCAAACAAAACCAACAAATAAACCATGGAAAACAACAGACGGAACATGCCCAATGTGATGATCACAGATTAGTCATTATCCCTCCAGCTCTATTCATTATCAGGGGTCTTGAGTTACAAACTGCACAATGCTCTCTGCTCTCCTTTGGGAATCCAGAGGGTCTTGGATCATGTTGCCAGGTTTCTTTACTGGCACAGACCAAGGTGGCCAAACGCAGACTTAACCACATGTGAGGTGAAGCCCCCCTCCTCACCCCTTCCTCCTTTTTGTTAGACTCTCTTACGCCATCCCCTGATGTTTGTGTCGCAGATGTGTGGCCTTCAATTGTGGAGGTACTTAAATCACAAGCCACTTGGTAGGGTGGTAATTATTTTTTATATCTTAAAGCACAAACTTCCTGTAAATCACAGCATCTTCGTCACACTTCACAAAGGTGCACACTGTAAACATGCTGTGAAAGCAAATGTAATAAGTTTATCTCCATCGTATTCTGGAGAGAATATCAACATCACGTACAAGATCTCATTCCCATTTCTCTGCTGAAGGGCAAAAAAATGCTGCTTGGCATTTAAGCTAGCTTGACTTTGACTTTTGGGAAAACCTTAACATGTAGATGTGCTGCAGAATTTGATGTGTTTCAGTTAAAAAGAAGAAACAACCCACACACCACCTCTCTGACAGATCATCAGTAGAGCAGGTGTTTAAATTAGAATTGTTCGTGGCTATGGCTGGCATGTAAAAAGATCATGTTTTATCCCCTCCAATGTTGTGCACATGTCCGGATGTAAACAATAGCATGTAATGTGTCTATAGCAGTAAATATGAGAGAAAAAATAGGCAAGTGTAAGAGTCGACCTAAAGTTTCCTTTCTTCTGAACTCCTGTCCAGTTAAGGGTCTATGATGCAGGGTTCGCGTGGGGAGTTTGAAAGCACACAAAGTCAGAATCCTTTTGCAAAGTCAGTGCACAGGGAGTTTTTTCCTGGCAGACAAGTAAGGGCAGCATACACCAGTACAGAGAGCTGGAGCAGCTGCTGCAGGGGCGGAGGATCAACTGATTTACTACATAGCTGAAACATGTCCTTGTCTTGCCTCAAGTAATGTTTTTAGATTTCATTGAAGCTGCACATCAGTCACAGCAGCAAATTAAGAGATTAAAATAGCTATTAAGAATATATTTGTACACTTTAGTAATCATACTCAAAAACAAGCCTTTTCTATGTTTGTCACTGTTTTATGTTTGGTTGCTGACGCTGCCCAAAAAGAGTGCAACATAGATAACACAGATCTCAAAATAAATGTAGTTTTCTCAGACATAAAAGTTAAAATTTCTTGAAAACAAAAACAAAGAGGACCAGTTTTTGCATCAGTGTTAGAGTAAGGTTTTATGTCTTTCTTTTCGCATATTTTTGTGTACAAAGGAGCAAAATGTCAAATTATTTCAATAAGTCCAACCACTTTGCATCCTCCTGAGACTCTCTAAAGATCTGAGCGTACTGGAACAAGTCTGTGGCAGCAGACATGTCTCAGTTTGCTCAGAAAGCTGCAGAGAGCAAACATGTCAGCTATGCATTTGATGAACACATAGGATTAGGTTAAATTGTCAGGAGTTAGCAAGTTGTTACATTTTTTACAAATAGTTTGCATCTTGTTCTTGTCTCCGTTGTTTGTCTTTCTGCTGGGTACCAAAAATGTGAAACAAGAAGTCTATAAACTAACTATCAATTTAACATCATCTTACACTTGCTTCACCAGACAAGCCACATGGTGACAGTTACTAAATCCTGTTAAACAGAAATCTCAGGTTGATCAGAAGCAATGGTTTGTTTCAGTCACAAGATTTTCATGGCACACATTTAGCCCCTTTGTAGGACACTGAGCATCATTTAGATGAGCATTTACTGACCATGCCCATCCCTTCATGAAAGTAAAATACCCATTTTCTGACGGCGACGCTTCGTAGGCCAATGTATTAAGTCACAAAACTCAATTAATCTTGAACTAGTTTGTTCTCCACCAGCCCCCAAAGTCAACCAGGAATTTTGTTTGTCTGGAAGCCCACAGACATGCTATACCTTTCCTTTCTTGGCCTTGGTTCCCAACGTGAAAGAGACAGAGAGAGAGAAAAAAAAAAGCCGTGTGACAAAGTTACAGTGAGCAGACAAGGACAATCTCCTGGTTGTTTACATATTTCTAAACCCACAGAGAGGAGAAGGAGCACAGAGAAACACAGAGACTTCCTATTTTGGGAAACAGCTGCTTTAAAACAAAACAAAGAAACCCTGGAAAATGATTAGGTTGCTGGATGAATGACCTGAAATAGGAAAGCACAGAGCTACATGTTACACACTTTTCTTAAATAAGCCTCCAGTATCAGCAGTCATAACAATTCCAGTCTCATCAGGGTGACTGGCAAGTATTTGGCACCTTTGAGCAAACATTTAATTTGCCAGCAGTCAAATCAGAGAGATGTGAGTGTTGCTGCTTGATATTAATGAACTGAGACTGAGCTCATGAGGGGGAGGTCTAAGTTATTGCAAAAAGTAATCTGAGCTCTTGATAACACATGTCTGATCGGTGATATTTAACAGCTGCATGTCTGAAGTTGAAACAAAAGCAGCCAGCAAAAACCCTGCCTAAACCCAGAGAGATAAGACAGTATTAGTACCCAGAGCTTTTATTTGCTTTTCCTTTGAAGGTTTTCATGTATTTTTTTGTAAAGAAACAATATAGATGCTCACTTTGAACATTTCAGTTCATAAAGTGGTTGTAATCCATAGAGTTAAAATGTTTTGAGGGAGCAAATAATGTTTAATGTTCTGTTTTTTTTTCTTCTGTTGACATAGGGACTACAAGGCAGACAGAATAAGGAAAGTTTTGTCCTGAGAGAAAAAAAAAACTTTAAAGATTTTAGACTTTAGCAAGCAATTTACAAATCTTAGACTTTAATTGACAGCTTAATAAAAGATGCAATTGCAATTTTAAATATTTTCAGAAAGAAATTAAGGATTATTAGATTCAATAAATAAGTTATGTACTCACATACATACTCATGCAGAAGACTTTACTATATAATTGCAATCAAATTAGTGCTTTCATTTACTTTTACTCATATATCAATAAGCATATTGGGCTAGACCAAGGCCTCCTGCGGTTAGGACTGAGTGAGAGCGTGAACTGCCTCTTTTGGTTGTCTTTTGGGCTGCAGTCATTACAGAGGACTGGTCATTGAAACAAGAAAAGTAATTTAACAGATTTCACCTTACATCAGTTCAAACAGATGATTGGGAAACAAAAATAATTGTTTTATTGCCTTCAAATTACTTCTTTGGTTTTCTTCTCTCTTATCAGTAATCCTGTGCTCAATGAGGTGAGAAAAAGTGAGTGGAAATACGATAGAAAATATGTTTACAACTAGATTCTTGCAGAAATGATTACATAAACAGTTTTGATGTGCAAAAGAAAATAATATTTCAGCGAGCACAGATGGGGAAAATCTGAAAATTGCACAAATATCTTGAATATGAATCACCTTTGAAAAACTCAATGAAGTATATTGTGGTAGCTATGTTCACTTTTATGTGACTAAAAGAGATTAACTTTACTGATGAAAAATCTAATTCTTGCAAGTTAAACCTTTCACGACAGAAGGCTCACGAACTGGAAGAGTTTTACTTCTGCTTTCAAAAGCGCAATAAATGAAACAATCTTAAGACCTTTTCAGGGTTTAGGATTTGAAATTCTAACACCTACTACTGACAAGATGAAGTGGAATGACTTATTCGCTTTGACCAAAATAACAGCGTTACAGAAAAACAGTGTTAGAACTACCATATGTTTGAACGTGAGAAACAGAGAACGCCTGCAGCCTTTGAAGAGCAGTAAGTCACAGCTGCTTCTGTCATCAAGGTGGCCTTTTTTTTTTGCAGATTCTGAATTTTTCCGTGTAACCGAAGCTGAAACCAGATCTATACTGTCTCCATGCCCCCTCATTGCACCCTTAAGATACACAGAGGGAAAGTCACCAGCCATTTGGTGGCACTCACTGACCTCTGGCTGAGGGAAAGCTGACATTCTCAGCTGGTTTTTTATTATACTTGGAGGTGAGCTACACACAGACGATGATTTTGCATATATTCTCAAATGTTACTAGCTTTGAACATTGTTGCATGAGCAGTTTAAATATTGAATGCGTCCTCAACAGACACATTCATCAAACATCAATTAACATCAGTCACTAGCTTGTATCTGACCCTAGAAGAGTCTTCTTTTATCAACATACAGTTGGCTTGAGTTCACCTCACGTGTCCAAACAGAGAGGCAAGCCTGGGTCTGTTTCTTAAATATCTTACGGATTATGCTGAAGCAGCTTAAAGACTGGGCTTACATGTAAAAGACAGAGTTTGCAGTGGCCTCTCGCTCTGAAAGCTTTCATTCATGACTTAATACTTTCCACCCAAAGAGGAGGGACGTCACTTCAAACAGAAGTAAACACATTTTTCCTGAAGTAGACTGACTTAAATGATGAATGTATATAAAGTAAGGTTCTGTTTGACTGTAAAAAGTGCTCCACTCAGGATTTGTGTGACTGGATGCTTTTATGGACGTTTTCCCTAAAGCCTTACAGACTCTTAACTGAGACCTGCTGTGGCTGCATGAAGCTGCTACTCACTGTGAAGCTCTGTGGGCGGCACGGCTGGGACAGGACAAAGTACTGCACAGCCAGGTTGAGGTAAGCTGTGCGGTAGGAGTCGATCTTCTTGTGACCCTGAATCAGTTTGAACAGCTCCAGGCACATCAGGCCTGCCACTGCTGCTGTCGTTGTGGCGATGGCAGGAATAATCCTTCCAGCAATGCGTTTGCTCTGTGAAAGGAGACAATGAGAAGTTCACTGCCAAGCCTCACCGCAGGCCAAGCAGATAGGTTGGAGAAATATCCAAGGTGTTAATGTGAGTGAATTAAAAAACTGAATGTTATGATTTCACAAAGCATAAATTTGTCCACATGACAGCATGAAGCAAGAGTGAAAGATTTTCCTCTGCAGGAAATGATAACATGGACTTTAGCTACAAAATGCATGAAGAGAGGAATAACCAATCAGAAAAATTGATGATGTTTTGTCTTTTAGTTTTTTATACTTGCTATAACATCAATTGTCCCTGGGGGATAGGAATAAATCTGAATCTGATGTCTGATCACTAAAGCTATTGTGTTTGACCTGGACAGATAAGCAGAGTTTGATACTTCACATAATATGATGCAGAACAAGTGGATACACACAAAAAGATTTGTTTAAAACGTTGTACGTCTTGCTGTCTATGTATCTATGTCACTTTGCGACAAAGAATGCATTTTACTAAATGCATGCTTTTAGAATATTCTCATCATCCAGAAAAAATTCTATACTGAACTTGTAAATCTCCGAAATATATGTAGAATTTTTTTATTTAAATTTTTTAATATCCTGACTACTTACATGGCTAAATACCTCTCGATGTAGTGCTACATTCAGCGTATAAGATACATAAAGACTGTTTCATTTAAGATTTTGCAGATTAATGACACACTGTAAATTATGTCACATACTAACACTAATTTATAGCCTTCAGATCATAAAAATCAGCACAATTGATACTATATATCATATGATCTGATGACTAAGTATGAAGCTATTTTGAAACGAGATGCAGCCTGTGGTAAAGGCTGTGATTACACAGGGCTGGAGGGGAGGGGCAGTGGGTGACTCTCCTTTGTCTCCCCTCACTCAATGACTCTGGGCGCCTCTCTGAGCCTCCATCTGTCTTGGCGGTGAGTGTCTGCAGCAGCAGCTGGAACAAGGCCCAGCTCAGGTGTCACCTTCCAGGCAGCAGGTAAAGTGCCATGATTAGTCCCATTCCAGGAACAATAGGTGGGGAGGCTGTTTTCTACAGCTTCAGGGCAGGTGTGTGAAGCGACAGCTAAAAACGCGCCCACAGGGGAGGAGATGAAGTCTGTCGCTCTGTTTTTCTTTCTCTTTTGTTTCTTTATAATGCTCTGGCAGAAGTCCTGAGTGGTCCTGTTTTCTTTTGCTTTACGTTAGGCTGATGTTTTTATGATGTTATAAAGTTGTCTTCATCAACACTTCTTTCAGGATTTCTAACTGTGTTTAAGCAGCTAATGACCAAATAAAGACTATGAAACTTGATAAACTCGTTGGCCAAGCTGACTTTATGGGATCACTACAAATGTATGAAATGCACAATTTAAATATAGACCTGGTGGCGATCAGCTGCCGGAATGTCGTAGTTTTCCGCTCTCAGGTTGGATGCAGCAACGATGTAGTCCATGTGGAAGTTACTGTCATCATCCTGTAAGAGTTGGGATGTTAATAATATTTCAGTCATAAGGGTTTTAAAAATAATCAATGTTTTTTGTAAAAACAAAACAAAACAAAAAAACATTCGATTATAAATAAATAATTTCTCAATTTCCAAATGAATCAGATCAACCTGATTCCCATTTTATGTGACAGTCCAAGTTCTCCTGCTTTGTGATCTGCCTGTTTCGAGTCCCTGTGGTCACCATGACACAATTCAGTGGGAAAAAGACGACTGCTGTGATTGATGTGAGCAGTGAGATCATGCAGCTCTACAAAAGCTGGGAGGCTGACTGTCACTCCAGGGTCTGTGGTAAAGTTGCTAGCTGGCAACCTGATGCCTCTGGATCTCTCCTCCACACATTCCATCCATCCAGCGCATCAGCAGGGCATGGAGGGATGCTACTGAGAGAGGGGAGTTTGGGAGTTTTGTTTTTTATTCAAGAGGAAATTCAATATACGCATGACTTACCTCATACACCTTTATTACTGAACTAACACAATGTTTTAACAGGAGCTCGTTCAGGCACCCTTTTAAACTTGTGCCAGGTCTTCTATTAATCAGATACGTAATTTTGCAGCACAGCATTCTCAAGGTGGAGCCCGATGAATTGTGTCTTCTGTATTTACTGGCTGGAACCTCTTATAAGGATGTGCAAATGGCCTTAAAATAAAAAAATATGACAGCAGCATTGTCTGACTTTGAAAATAAAGAAAAAAAAATTACCTTTAATTTGACATTTATTGGTACTCATGCTGTAAATATTTCGCACAATGCCTTCTTTGTCAAAAGGCCAGGAATTGGTCTTCTGTAACATTTCACACTGTTGGCACACACAGGAAGCCCAATATTTCAGCTAAATCTCTGTAGATGATCCAGATGTGTCTTAATAGTCTCTACTCTGCAGCTCACTGCTGATTTCAGATTTTGCTTTGGAACCCGAGTTTTCCATAAAAAAAAAAAATTTGTGTCTGGTGAACTATTTCTTAATTCAGTTAGATGCATTGCATAAAGATTCTGCTGAATGATCCAGTCATGATAAATTTTCAGTTTTTTGTTTTTTTTGGCTGATTTGTAATATTTCTTGGGTTAATGACAAACTCAAAACATGCTTAGCACTGAGAATAAGGTGCGTTGTCACATTTATTCCATGTTTCACACAAGACCCATGTAGAGTCTTTCTTTCAGGAAAAACTCTACAATAATAAACCATATCTTAAAAATAGCAAAAGAAGTTATTAAAAAGTAGCTTACATTTTGTTTTATTTCACAATATTTTTTCTTCTTTTCATTGATATTTCTTTTACTAATGAGATGATAGAAAAGGATGTACAGAAGCCTCAATGAGCCACTCCTCTTTAAACATTTCTGTACAAGGAAAGTACCTTGAGGTCTTAGGTCCCTTTTTAAGAGCTTGCACTACAGAAACAAAGAAAATATTGATCAAACAGCACTTTGTAGGGACTTTTTGTTGCCCCTAACTAAAAGTGAAACTGATCAATCGGACACAGAAACAAAGAACTTCTACTTACTACTACACAAAGCAAGACTGCTAAAACATCACACAATACAGAGCTATTTCTTCACTGTGAAATAACTACCACTTCCTTTTCAGGAGGATGAATTCAAACATCCTGAACCTCAGTGAGTGTCTGCATCCGTACAATCATGAATGCCTGAAGGTGGGAGTGTGATTAGAAAGCTGATTCATGCTCTAAACCAGTCCATTTATTACTATCTTCAGAGTTTACCAGAGAAATAATCGCAAAAATAAAAATGGTGTAATTATGTTGTAAAGTGATTTTCAGATGGACTAGTTGCATTAATCTCAGTTGCATTACCATCTTAGATAAAGGTGATACTTTCAGTGTCAACTAAAAGCAGTTGACACTGTGGCTTGCTTTGAGGAAGCACCTGGTTAGCATATAGCTGAAAACATCGTAAAACGTTTACCAGTGTACCGCCAATAAAAGTCTAAGTTTCAAACATTTAGGAAGCTGCCTCAAAAGTAAATACAGTTGAATTTCATAGAAAGTGAAGCAGTTAAACAAGGACAAACTTCAGGAAATACCTAATTCAACACTCAGCTTCTTTTAATGAGCTGCCTGACTCAACTTTTCCTTTTTCCACATTTCTGAAAACAGGAAGGAAATCTCCAAAACATCTGCCTCCGCTCCAAGTCAACATATTCTGTGTGAAGACACGACACAATTGAGCTCTGTCTTAATGAATGGTCAAGCACTGGCTAAGATTCAGCTCTCCGAGGCTCAAAGGATGTTGGAAAAAGACACGATATGAAAGCACCTATAGATTTAAATGTTGCTCCCTGCTAAGGCTCAGTCACCATGCTGTCACCACCTGCAGCCTCTCTGAACTGTGCCGCAGAGCTATCATTATACCCACCAACGTACCTTCTCAAAGTCAATGGGGGACATCTGACCTGCGCTCTTCAATGAGGACAACTTTCCTTTCAGCTCCTCAAGTTGGGCTTTGTCTGCAGAGGAAATAAAAAGAGGCTGAAGACTCAGGAAGATTACATTAGATGGCAGACACAAGTTAAAAGATCGGAAGCTAACTTACCAGCGTCATCACCCTTTTTTTTTCTGTCCTCCTCCATTTCCTTGTCAGTGAGGTGAATTTTTACAGAGGACTTTGGACTAAATGGTGGAACTGAGACTTTCTCTAAGGCATTTTTGATTGCAGCACAGTCTCTTGTCCCTTGGATCCCATAAATCTGCCCATATAGGTTGGCTGCTGCCACCACATACTCCATGTGGGTTGCCTGAACACAAAATTCAAATGCAAACACCAAATAGTAATAACAATATGACCATCTACTTTGTAGTGTCTTGTTCCTGCTTTGCTGTCAAAATAGCCATAACGACTGAGACCAACATGATGTGATACCGTTTTGGATTGAAAATATTTGTTGAGAACATCCCACAGATGAGGTCTCGGGAATCTGGAGGAGCAAGTATAAACACTTCAAACTTGTTTTTATAATTTTGAAACCTTGTGTGAACCATTGTTTCTTTACATGGTGAAAGAGGCTGCAAGCACTATTGGAAAGTATCAACAGCACTTCTCTTTTTCCACATTTTGTCATGTTACTGCCTAACATAACAAACAACTTTATTCCAAATTGTGTTAAGGTAATCTCTTTCCTCAACTTTCTACACACAAATACTACATTATGACAGTGGAAAAAAAAATTACATTTTAGATAATTAATTATTTTTTGAATAGAAAACGTACCACATGTCAACTCCTAAACCTTTTTAAGGTTTTAATGCATAATGCATATAATCAAGAATTGAGACTATTGAATAAATTTGCCTTGACAGTAATATTGTTGATGTCCGATTAACAAAAAGGTGAAGAGGGAGAAGAATGGCATTGAGGGAATACCTTAAGGCTTTCCTTAAGGAAAAAACAGGAAGTGGTTGTTACTCAAACTCCAGATTTAGTCTTTGCAACACCCATAGTTTTGCAGAAAATGTGTTTCTGAATCCTGTCACTTCACATTAAGGTACAACACTCACTTCTGTTCAGTCATAACAACAGCTGTCAGCAGTAAAATGCTGTTTCAGCACCTACTGATCACACGTTTGTTCACATTTTTAGTATTTTGGTTGCTGGCAGTCCACTATTTCCACTGAGCATAAATACTGTTGCCGGTTCATAGCAAGACAAATAAGCAATTTGGTTAACAAGGGTATCGGTGTAAGAGATCAGGAGATCATTATTTTTTACTGTGCATTTGTAGCCTAGATGATAACTTTAAGGGCACTATCAGACAAGATAAAGAAGGGATGTGAACCGCTTTCAAAAAACACTGGTACTTTTCCTTTACATTCATCAGTTAGGTGCCTTGTATTGGATCAAACTCTACTCACGTTGTTAGGGTCAAATGTCAGTGGATGAGGGCATCTCTTGGATCCAGACCAAAAGGGTAAACCATTAGAGGTCAACTAAAAAGGAAAGGAAGCAGGAGAAAATCTCTTTATCACAGTGATGAATGGCTGTGAAATCATGGTGGATTTAGGTTATTGGTCATTCACTTCAGTGCAAAGCACCACAAACCATTCCAAAAGGTCAGGAAGCTGTCAAATCTTCTAGATTCAGGGGCATTAATGCCTGAAATTTCCATGGTTTCTACATAATTTTTGTCAAATGTTGAGCCTTTCCAGGTTCAAATTTCCAGAGTTGCCTGATTTTCTCATGTACAAATGTAAATGTTGACCAATTCCAGTTCTGTCAGAAAGCGTTTGCTCATTTCTCGAATTTGCCATTCGTCACAGTCAAAAGGCAAACTTCTGAGTGTGGCAAAAGTTTGCCGCAAGAATCTGAATCATTACATCTCATATTTTAGTATAAGATAAAGATAACTTAAGTAAATATAAAAAGGAGTTTTCAAATTGTGATTTTCTTCATATTCCTGAAGCTACAAATTATATCGTTATCAGGTATAAGGTATGGCAGCTTTGATGTTGCCAAATGGTCCACAAGTGGAGACAGAGCAAGTGTCTTCCTGGTTGTTCTAGTTTTCACATTTTGATTTTTATTTTGATTCACATCCCTTGTTCTGTTTCTTTGTCTTTTAAGATGTGTATATTTCATAGAAGGAAAACCCTAAATTTTGCTTCCACTTTCACATGTAAACATGATGTTTCTGCTTTTGGTCTCTGCAACAGACATTTTCAACATAAAATACATGAGAGGGAGTGTAGCTTATTGCTAATCGTGTAGTAAAAATCATAAACTGGAGCTTTAAAATCTTGCTTGATACTTTGTCAAAAGGCCTTCAGGCTGAAAGTAAAGACTTCTGACCAGTAGAAGCTGCTACATCCTGTCTGTTTATCTATGACCAGTAAATGTCACGTTGGAAGTTGACAGATAACTGACATCAGTGACCTTATCATAGTTCCTCAGAAAGTCTGTGGTATTGAGCGATGTTCCACAAGAACAATGGAACTACAACTGTTGCATCATTTAAAGGTGGAAAAAAGAGAACAATATACCCTAATCAGCAATAACTACTGTTTGCAGGACTAGGTTTTGTAATTATTACACAAAACAATAAATATATGAAGCCAGAAAACTTCTGCTTTTCTAAAGAGACGTTCTGGAAATCGTCTCTCTAGACGCTTTTTTTGAGTAGAAAGATATCTACTCAAATATTTTTCCTAATATTTGAGTAGATATTAGGAAAGAAAAAAAAAAGAACAGTCAGAGGAATTTCCATAACTGTGCACGACATTGTGGTAGCACGACATGGCCAATTGCAGAAACTGGGGGTCAGAAACTGGCCTTAGTGAGGATTTGTTTGCGTTGATACCAATCTGTCACCCCGCCCTTCACACCAGTGTGACATCAATCTGTCTGCATGTTTCAACCCCTCAGAATCCCTTTGAGACCTCTAAGGTATTTATCAGTGCTGGTTTTTCACTGGTCTACTCATATAAGAATAAATACAACACCAATTGTGTTGTTTTTGGACGTTTTCCGTTTAAATAACTAACACAGACAGTTGGCGTAAACCACAACAGCGCCCCTGTGTGTCCTTCAACATTAATTGCAGGTTTATGACGTTTGACTGTAAGGTTGTTTTAAACCCAGGTGGGATTTTACCTCTTCCGGAGGGAAACAGTGCAGAAGCTGGCGGATATCGTTGTTGTACAGAGTCTCCCACTTGCAGCGTGCCCAGGCCACACAGTCCTCCCAGTTTTTTGGACGGTGGCCTCCAGCCTCCATCTCCTGAAGGCTGACGCATACACCTCCTAAGATCTCCAGGGCCTCAGCATCCCCATGAGTGAGAGTCCGCTCTATGAAATTTGGATCGCTACAGGATCCAGTAGCAGCTTTTAATAACAGACTTACAGTTCACAAAAGTACAAGTGTCTGAATATTGATTAGGCAACCATTGTTTGGTATTTTACGCTTCTTTCCATTAAAGAAAAATGGCAACCAGAAAGCTACCCTGGTCTGTGTGGGGAAATGGATGGAGCTAAAGGCAGGGACATACTGAAAGGGGTTCACCTTCCAGCAAATCAATAGAACTAAATATACAACCAGAGCTACAATGGTTTAGATGAAAGCACGTTCATATTAGAATGGACCAGTCAAAGTCCAGAATACAATACTGAATTTGTGGGAAAAATTAAGGAAAAATTGATCCTCTCAGGTAATTTCCAAGCACTCACCAGACAGAAGGCATTTTTTTCATTCTCTTATTCTGAGTCATATCCATCGTAAGTCAGTGTTTGCTTAACTCGTAGGAATGCGGATCAGTGCTTCTCTAAAATCTCATACTAATTCATGAAATGGCTAATTCACTTCTGAGTTATTAACATGTTCCAACTCATGCTCTTCCTGCCACCTTGTATGCATCATGATGATGGGGGATATTTCCCCTTTTAAACAAAAACGTGTCTGAACAGGAACTTTCAGAGTCATACTTCTGCATGTAGCAGCAAGTGGGACAAAACATATGAGTTAATTTCCATGACCTCATATATGATGAGTCACAAATCGCTGGACAATGAAACGTGGATGACCATCCACAGGAGAAAAAACAAGTCCAGAAGGTTTTATTTGTACAATGGAAAATACCAAAGTTTTCTAATCTGTATCTTTCGGTTTCTATTGGAGTGAGTGTGTAAACACCTGGGAGTCCCAATGGATCAAATCAAATCTCACCAAAACAAACAGAGAGACATTTCAAACATGTCTGGATTAGAAAGGCTCAAAGCTCACACAGAGTTTGGGTCTTGAAGCTCACCACTCTCACTGATTATTTGCTCTGGTATTTTGCTTTGTGATAAACTCAGTACATCAGGTGTTATTTGTAAAATAAGCTAAAAAATACTGATAAATCATGAAAGAAATACAACTGTAAAGAAGACAAACTATTTCACAGTTTGTATGACAGTTTGATGAGTCAATATTGTTTTGAACTACAATTTACTGCAAATACAATTCCTTGAGGGAATGTCTACACAGGTCTAGAGATAGTGAAATTCATTCAGTTCTCAATTTTAAAATCCTGTCTTTTGAATATTCATCAATTCTTAACTGCATTTAGGCATTTAAAGTGTATTAATTAACCCATAAATTAATCTAGACTTTTCCATTATTGCTCTGGTTGTATGATTAAGTTCAATGTCCTTCTAGAGGGTAAATGTTCATCTCAAATCTTTAACATTCTCCAACAAGATTTATCTTTTCCAGGATTTTCCTGGATTTAGTCACAAATGCCTCACCGATTACATTTGTCATGACTGTCAAGGCTGTCCCTTGGTATGATTGCTGTTTTGTCACACTCGTTCTACACAGTTGGACTCTATTTACTAATTAGATTTTTTCTAATCAATAGAAAATATTTACATGGTAACAGTAGATTTTATTTCGGGGCATCAGAGTAAAAGTCCCACTTTTAAGACAACCATGTAATTTTGCTTCCAATTCACAATTGTGCACCACTTTGCGCTGATCGATAAAATGAAACTAATGTTTGTGGTTGTAATGTGATAATGTTGAAAATCTCACATTTCAGTCGGTTTAATGAGTTTGGTAAAAATGTACTTCCATGTTATTGTAAAAGAATTAGGAAGATGACTGAACCCAATTTGAGCAATTAGCTTGTTTTGAACTTAAATTAGAGCCGACGAAGGTGAAGTTTTGCCTCACCTCAAGAAGAGATTCACATTTTCAGGTGTTTGTTTAAACAGTCCTTCAAACTGGTCTCTGGCCCACTGAAACAGAAACACGTTGACACAGTTGTAGTTTGACTGTTATTCACCTGGACACATAACTTTTCACTTTAATGAAGTCAAACACAAAGTGAAGGAGCTCAGTAGGTACTTGTAGTGTGTGCTCAATTCGGTGTGGGAAGTTCTTCAGAGTGCACAGCGGGATGGCATTTCCGGAGCTCGACTTGCCCGGTCCGTAAGATTCAGTCAGATGAGGCACCACCACCAGAGTGTGACCTTTGCTTCCTAAAGTTCCCCCCTCCAGCATCGGCTTCTGGTGCAGGACGCAGCGCTTATCGAGATAAACCCCTAGGAGCCCACAAAGAAAGGATCGACCATTTTAAAGTGTATTTTCACCATATTGTGTCAATGAGGGATTGATCTCATAATGCTGATAGCCTTTACTAGCTTCCACGTTATCAAGGGCTGCAGCCACTCCATCCAGGCCCATGAAGAAGTTGTAGTCGTACACGCCCTCGCTGTCAGGGTCCAGTCGGTTCTGGTGAGCGGTGATTTTGATCTGGGGGTTCATCTCTGCCACCGCTTTGGCTGCAACCTCAGATTTGGGTTTCTGTTTGGGGAGACAAAAGCATATAAGATATGCGTCTGTCAGACAATAAAAAGAGAAAATGAAGAACTTAGTGAAGATCTCATTTGGGTATTTTTACATATGAGTTAGATAATATGAAAGAAATCCCATCAGACAATTTTAACAGTGAAAACTGGTGACTTTTCCTCTTAATGTGGGTTAAACTAGAGCAATCACACAACCCTGTACATGTCAGGTTCTTAAAGAAAACACTGAATTTTGTGTTACTTCTCACCCCAATATCCTTGGATCTGAACAAAAACTGCCGATTCAGGTTGGATCTTTCAATGTAGTCCATGTCCGTTACAGTGATGCGGCCTTCTTCTCCAGCTCCGAGCCCAATAAGAGCAAAGTTTTTAAGCAGTTCACAGCCGATAGCACCAGCTCCAACCTTAAGAAACAAACAAAATATTCCCCACGTCTTTTAAACATTATCAACATATTAACTCATCTTCATTGTGATCTTTTATGCTCCTGACAATGCAGGAAATTATTTTACTCAAAGTTACATTATGAAATGTTGTAGAATGTTGTATTTCATTACTACAGTGTACCTCTAGTGCAAGTCTTTCAAGCTTTGCCTGCCAATAATTAATTTGACCATTTGAATTTGCTTATAAATATTTAGACATATATTTAAAAGTATAACTATGACAGAAAGAGAAGACTGGGAAAAATATAGTTTGATTGCAACTTAATTGCAATATGTTCCTAATATTCTGCAGCCCTGATTTAATTCATTACTGATATGTCAGGGTCAACTCTTACAGTGAGTAAAACCCTAACTAGCACACAACATCCTCTTTGAAAATAAAACCGAGCATGCAGCCCATGAGTAGCAGGAAATGTAACGCCTTCACAGGAACCAGAGGTAGGACTGAGCCCTTTTAAGTGACCTCTATAGCAAAAGGTTCTCCCTGCCAGGAAGTGAATCCCATTTTCTGTACGCGTCATCATTCACTCAGGAGATCAAAGTATAGCACAAATAGGTTTTGGGCATTCCCCAAGTAAAGTCTGCCCTCTGCTGGACATCTTACCATGAAATACTTTTGTTTCAGAAGCTTCTGCTGAAACTCTGATCCAAAGACAACGATCTGCGCGTCGTATCTTGTGCCTTTCTATCAGAGAGATAAAAAGAAGAGCTTAAATCGCAGAGCAATCGTCAATCAAAACACATTGATCTACTGACAAAGTTAGTGGGTCAGCAAGATTTAAATTAAAGCAATCATTTCACATACTGATGAAAATGAGCTCTCTTGCAGACGACTTTCAGCTTCAGGAAGACATTCCAGGGCATCAAAATAAATCCACTGTTGGAGAGGGGTAAATTTCCCACTGGATGCCTGCAGAAATATTTAAAGAAGTCAAAAAAGTTGAGATCGAATGTGTAAGGGTACATGGATCAGTCACAAACAGATAAGCATCAATCAATCTGTCAAAGATTTTAACCTTTTTCATTACATGCAAAAAGACTTAGAACTGCAACAAGTTTTAGTTCATAAACACATTAATAAACAGCATTTACTGTCATTTAGCTGAAATAAGTGCAAAATCAAACAAATGTGGGAGTGTGTAATTTCACAACTGGTCAAACCTCAATTAAAATCAGAAGTTGGTATCTGCCAGTAAAGAGCTTGATTGATGCATCGCTAGCCACAATTTACTTGAGTCTCTATATCAGATGCCACAGATTTGAGCTGAGCTGTTTTAGTATGTCGAGGTTTTGCAACATGGAGCAACAAGGTAAAAAGATGAGAGTTTAATTCATGATGTTTGACTTCACCTTGATAACTTCCTGAGCAGCCAGGCCTCCAAAGAAAGCGTTCATGGGAGCCAAATCTCCCCGGGCGGTGTACGAGAAGATCCTCACTGCAGCTTCATCAAGTTCTTCCAGTTTTGCAACTGAATTCAACTTGTTCACGATGTCAAGCAGCAAATCTGCATCTGTCTGTATGAGTTAATGAACAGTTATAAAGAGTGAGTTGTAACAACCAGGTAAGTTACATTATACGGGGATGTGTAAGAGTATTTGACTCCTTGCAAATTTCTTCTGATTATTGTTCATTCAAACTTGTTAAAGAAAGTACTTTTAAAATTAGGCAAATAATCTGAGTTAATACAGCTATAGTTTTTAGTTTTTTACAGCAATGTCATTCTGTCATCACAGAGCATTTGTACTGACCTGTGACCAAGGAAGAGGGAGCCGCTGCTCTCTCTTTACAAAGCTGTGGAGGGCTTGGAAGGCCAGGTGCAAAGTGTTATGTCTGGATATTTTTCCGTAGTCATTCAAAATGAGTAGCTGATGGTCGTTAAGAGCCTCACTCAGTGGTTTCTGCAACGCATGTTGTTAATATTTTACCTCCTGGGGGGAACATTTCTTTTTAAAAGGTAATCTTGGAACAGTCAACACCTACAAAATTCAGCGTGAGAGGCTGTTTAACTTCAGTCACCACTCCACCTCGTTCATAATCGGAAAAGCTGGAAGTGTCACAGATGCTGAAGGAATACGGACCTGGTGATCGAGGTGACAAATAAAACACAGACAGAAACATAAAGAGCATTTTACTTTGGTCCTCTCCTGAGGGTTAGGCATGTGAAGAATAACTCAGTAGTATCATGAGGCTACTTATGATACTACCGACTATTTTCTTAATTAAGAAAATAAAAAGCATGTCAAAGTGTTTTTAGTTAAGCAACACCAACCGCAGACTTTGATCTCCATAGGGGCCATACTGTTGAGTTCTGCCATGCCTTGGACCTCAGAGAACATAACCTTAGTGCCGTCAAAAAGTCCGTGTTTCTGGTCATCTGCACAGATGACAACTCCAGGATTGTCCTGAAATAAATGCCAACAAATCGAAAAAAAATATTCTAAAGATAAATGGTCATAAAAGTATTATTTTAGCACATTTTAGGTCCACTGTGTCACTCTAACAAAATATTAAAGTTGAATTGTAAAATTATAAAAATTATTGAATATAAAGTATATTTACAGTTTGTCAAATGGTACATCAAACATGATGTTGTGTTACACAATTAGCAACTGCAATTGCTAAAAATATAAGGCCATTTTTACCTTAGTGATTCGGTCAATCATCAGTGATGTGGGCATCTCTCCATCCCGATCCAAGACCTCAAACTGCTCTCCAAAATCACAGAACAACTGGCTGCAAGTAAATATCTAAATTTACGCATCCTTCATCAACATTGTATCCAATTCACTGCACACTGTATGCATGTACCCGCTTACCCACAGAGCCCTTTTGTGTCTGCGACTATAAACTTAATTCCATGTTTATGGCAGAACTCCCCAAAACGCTTCTGATCATCCAGCGAGGAGTCAGTGAGGACTACCACCTGGAAGAATGACAAGTGTTAAGCTGTGAGTTAAACAGATGAAGATACTTTAATTTGTTTAAAGATGAAAGTAATTTCTCTGCTCATTATTGTTACAGGTGAGGAAGTTGAAGTCTTTATGCACCATCAGTGAATGTATGAAACAACACCTGGTATTTTTGAAGAAGGTCTTCATTTAGTGGTCCGGCGTGTGCTGACACACGCACATGTGGATTCAACGCAGTCAGCTGTGGGATGGACGATGTGGCTCGGTTCTGACCAAGATCAGACTCATGCAGAAAAAACTGAATGTATAACAAAACGATGAAAATAAGATGGCTTCAGTGTTTCAGATTTAACATTCATCTCCCAATCCCTGATTTTGCTCTGTTCTCAGACAAATAAAGGAAAATGTTCACACTGACATTTCCTGTAACTGAACTGAAATGGTTTGTGTGTAAATTATTGTGAATCTGACTGGATAGTAGCTGAGATATTTTGGACAACATTTGGATCTGAATCAAAATGAAGTGGGCTGAATTTAATTGGATCTGAATCTTACTGCATTATAATTGGCTTGAAAAGAAATGTATATAATTTGATCTAAATTTGACTGCATAACTATTACATGCTAGTGAACAGATTGCGATCAAGACATCATCACAATATGACACAAAATGTGATAAAACATGACTAAAAACAGCATAGAGGTGTGAATAAATGAATAAATACAATAGCACCTGCCTCTCCATGAGACTGGCTTAGAATTTTGTAAGGCTACATTATATTACAACTCAATCTGGAGTGTACCTAATTGAAAAATAACACCATTTATTACAGCTCTGTTGACCTAGTCTATTTTTTTATATAACTAAATTAAATTGGCAACAATTCAATTTCAGTCTTGTAGTCAGGTGTTTGATGATTTGATCTGAATTTAATTGAATTTACCGGAATTTAATCAGACTTCAAGTTCTTTAAAACTGGGATTATTGTAACTGAATGGGAACGTGTTGTATAGAACTGGATCTGAAAACCTTATGGGCCTGTCTGGTACGTTGTCATAAATGAAAGTAAAAGTGGGATTCAGTCATTACCATTTTCCTTGAAACGTATCTTCTTTTATGTGTTAAACTAAATTATCAACCTTTATGGAAGAACAGGAAATTTGACAAATATATTTTTCAGATCTACCATTTCATCCACTATGATATTGAATACTGACAGGTATTCAAAAATGCATAGTGATCAGGTGTGGCAAGTCAACGCCCAAGCAGGAAGTTCTCTACTTTTCCAGATTTGTATTAAATGTATTTATCCCAACAGCCAGCAGATATTACCTGTGAGGACAGGTCAGACCACTCCGCCTGACCCTCATCCTGAACAGTGACAGACTTCACTCCAGACAGGATCACATTCTTGGCTATTTCCACTCCCAGCCCCTTCATGCCTGCAATGAGGACCTCAGCTGTGCCCATCCGGCGCATCGCCTCATGTCCCAGAACATACCTGTGCCAGAAACCAAGCAGAATAATAATGAGCTGAGTACTTTTGTTAAAGTCTCCCAATAAACAGCAGTGTTGTGACTTACAGCTGTCGGGAGTAGAATCCCTCATCGATTTCACCGGCTCCTGCCATGTTCACCACTCAGTTTTCCCGTCTGAAACAAAACAACGTGACTTTACAGGGAAGGGAATGAAAAGCTGGATTAAAGGCGAGCAGGTAACCCAAACCAGGAACAGATCAAAGTCTGAAGGTCTGACCTGAGAGCAAATGACCGGAGTTTAAAACTACCGGTATTTCACTTTCGTTTCAGTTGATTCCCTCCTCAGTGACTTCACAAAAAAACAACATATAACAAATCCTTCCTTTGTATGTTGGCCACTAGGGGGCGGATCAGGACTTCTAATAAGAATCAAGACATGATGACTTTTTTGTTTTTACTAATGAAATAAAATATCAGGCCTCATTTCATTGGAGCTATTTCCTTGAAGAAGGATGTGTCTCTGTGCTTGACTTAAATCAGAATAATCTGTACTGTTTCCAGATACCAGGCAAGTTCAAAGTCCAACTACACCGAGTTTAAGATAAGACGTCACCAAATGTCTTCTCTACTTCTCAGTAAATTTATTAATGCAGTTTTTGAGTTTTATTTAATAAATAGCATTTAGATGTTTAAACGTTGCTAAATTTGGAAAAGAGATGTTATGGATCAGATTTGAACTGTTCAGACACATTAAATCTATTAATAAACCAAAATGCCACTATCTTGAAAAGATTGTCAACCTGACCTCAGAGAAACTAATGCATGGTTTTATTTTGAGAAAATTAGACCAAATTTTCTTTAGCTGACTGAAAGAAAATCAGTGAAAGTCAGAATCTTCACTAACACCATGAAAATGGCATACCTGTCCTTTTATTATTGTGCTGCCTTCATGTTTATAGGAGGATAGATTTTAAAATCCTCTTATTGGTGTATAAAGAAATATGTTCAACCTCAAAACCTACTTTATCAGTTTATTCCTGAATGTTATTAATTATTCCCTTAAAACTTGCATTCTAACATTTCTTTTTTATGTACATCCCAATGCAATCATCATTCATGTATTCTTAACATTTTTTTTTTTTCAAAAAGTTTATCAGGCTTTCAGCAGAAAGTCAGGCCTTGACACATCGAACACATGACACAGCAGCTGTGTACTCCAGGGAAACCAAGCTGTCTGTTTTCATTTATGAAGTAAAAATAACTCTATGTAATAAGGGTGATTCAAACAGCCTTCAAATCTCAGTTTTCTAGACCAAAAGAAGCACAGCACACACAAAGATTTTTTGACATAGCCTGTCAGTAGAGTTGTCTCACAGGTTTTAAGTTATTTTTCTACAACAGAGGGATTTGCCCAGCCATACGTTGGTTGCTAAAGAGAGAGAACTCTGATAGAGAGCAAAGAGGGAAGACAAGCATAAGCATCAAAGGAGCAGAGATGGCTGTCACCCGTGCAACAAACAAGACAACAATAGCTCAGCTATGACATTGCTGATATAACTTGAACTATGTTATTATTGGGACTTTGAGTAGGTGGAGACTGTCACATTGTTTTTGGGGGGGAAGTTGTGTTGCATCTTGGTGTGGATAGTGAGAAATCAGTGCTTTAAGTTGGAGAATATTCTGATCTCTAAACTTGTTAATGTATATTGAGTCACACTTACTAAGTGACTGAAGCTATGCTTATGGTGACACAAAGTCAAAGGTCAAGTCAAAGTTTATTTCTAGTTCCCAAAGTTTTGGGGAGTTTGATTAATAACGTGTTACCTTATTGGAGTGTTATGGCTGACTAACATTTTAAAAGCAATCTTGGCTAATGTAGTGAAGCCACACTTTCAATTTTCATTCTCCATTAGTTGCAGACGGTGAAATAATTTTTGGTCAATTTCATAATAAAGTGGATAACAATAATTCATCACTACAGACAATTCTAAATAAGTGTCAGCAGATCTGGAGGGGATGTTTAGTATGTCTTTGATGGAAATAACAGTCATAACATTATTGCTTAAATGGTTGCTAATTTGATCCCTCTGATAGAACCAAATGTACAAAAGAAAACTTGCCCTATGAGTCTATAAGAGTTGCAAAATGAGAAAACATGATACTTCTCGGTCAATTTGTAAAATTAGAAGGAGAGAAAATGAGACCAACAAAAAACGTCAATGTCTTAGAATAAGACTCTTCCCTGTATGTCTGATGTCTGCCAGTGTTGCTTCCCTCAGCGTGTGTGAAGGAGTCTGTGACAGGAAGATCTGCTCAAAGTATCACCAGTTTCACCCAGGAGGTATGAGAAATTGTTTTGATTGACATGAACCCAGCCACCATCCTTCACCCATTATAGCCCAGTGGAAAGAACTGGCCTTCCTGACAAGCCCTCTGTGTTTTGTTTTGTTTTGTTTTGTTTTCACTGTCCTGCATATGCACCACACTGTGATGTTTGCACATTTATAAAGAAATTCACTGAATTGGAGTTGAAGTTGCTTTACTAGTTAAGTCATACGAAATGCTGCTCATACAGTAATACATGGTTACAATCTGCCTCTGGATGTTCTCTGTTCTCTACAACACACCTGTGCACTTGCATCTCAGTCTTTTCTCTGGTGCATTCACTGACAGTCTGTAACATAAATGTATAAGCACCACTGGTAAGATTACACACCCCAGCAGCTCTCCTACTTCCACTGTGTTAAAAATGTTTCATGACTTTAAAATATTCAGATTTCTCAACATAGTCAGCAAGATGACCCTGTGCTTTTTTTTTTTGTCTTTGTTTTTCCAACACGTTTTGTTTGTGGACCAGTCTAGAACACTGCAAAAGTGATAACCAAAGTCAATGCCAAAGCTATTTTATTTACAAACATTTAAAACTTACAAGTTACACAACAGTAAAATAAATCAAACAAAACAAATACAGTAAAAAGATTCAAACAGAAATAGTTAAATTTCAAAAGTAGTTTGTCTGATGTGTAAAGTTGTTCCCCAAAATGAGGCCCATCACAGCAACCATGACTCTCCCATGGGTTCATGGGCGAGTCAGCCTTTCATCTCTGAGAATTATGGTGTTAAGATTAATTCATGTAATCCATAGCCAACAAAGTCAGATATTTTAATACTCTGAAGAAACAAATGCTTACATTTTGACAGCCAAATGATGTGAGTTCCACCTTCCTCAACCACCAATGAAAAAGACGAACTCCCTGTTTCAGACCACCCAGTTTTTAAAACAGTACAGCCTACTTCTTATTAAAAGTGGTGGAGACAAAATGTATACTTTCTGTATGCACACACACATACGCACATGCATGCACGCACGCACCCCCCCCCACACACACACACACGCACACACCCACACACACACACACACCCCACACACACACCCCACACACACACACACACACACACACACACACACCCACACACACACACACACAAACACACACACACGCACACACACACACACCCACACACACACACACACCACACACACACACAACACACACACACACACACACACACACACACACACACTCTTGGCTAAATTAAATCTCTAGAAAACAAATAAATACATATTTACACAAGCCAGCCCCCTCTCTCCTGTCAATGTTTTTTTCCCCAGTGAGGTTGATTGAGCGTACCTGTTCCTTATCAGTACCACTTGTGGGTGCACTTCCATGGAAACACGTGACAACAAGGTGACCTATAAGAAATCCTCTTTAAATTATGATCTGTATCTCTATAGAGATACAGAAACCATTATCACGTAAACCATATGTTTAAGTGATGAGTTGCCAGAATTCTTGCCAACACAACTTCCTGCAAAACTCTTTCACATCGGTTTTTTGTTTTTCATTTTGCTGACATTTGAGTGCATCAACTGATGAAGTTATTCTGACATGGAAGGAAACTGACAATCCTAATGTGGGATGAAATGAGGAACAGACACAATTGGAACTTTGCATTCAACAATGGCAGAAAAGCTGCAGTGAGTCATAATAAGCCTCTGTATTGTACAATCTCAGATGAAGATTAGTATTATTGTTATGGCAATATGTCACTTTTAAAGAGTTTGCATCATCTATTTATTCAGCAATATTTATTATAGCTAAATGTTTTATTCTAATAGTGTTACTCTAATAGTGCTACTTGTTACTTTTTTTTCATTTCCTTTCTCTTTCCCACAAATAGAAATTTGTTCCTAGTTGAACATTTGAGTCCAAATAAATTTATTGGGAAGAATAAAAGTTTGTCCAAGACGTTTACTGAACATTAAATATTCTCTGACCTATGTTAGAGCTCCACTACATTTCCAGACAGACAAGCTATTTTATTGTAAAAAAAAAAAAAAGAAAATGTTAAAGCTCCTGTAGGGGTAGAGTCTGGGAACAGCGTAGTTTTCTTTGTGAATCTCGCTATGCAGACAAATTTTCTTCCCTCAAAATATTGCATACGGTTTTAGGTTCTATGGTGCAACATTTCGTATGTATTTCTGCTTGATTCAGCACATGATATATTTATTTAAGGGTTTGTTGCATTACAATTTGTCCCTTGCATGGTGCTTGCCCCTGAATAGAAGCATAGTTTTGGGTGTTATGTCTCTTTTTGTTGCAGTAATCTCGTAGTATTTGTCAAATGCTTTCTCTTTTAGAATTGGCCCAGGAATGTTGTGGTTTTAAAAATTACACCAGAGTGTATCTTCCCAGAGGGGATACAGCTCCTGAACTTTGGATTCAGAGGTTGATGATTAACGTCTAGATGTCAAATTAGACATGATGTTTTCAATAGCAATTGCAATTGGTAATTTATGATGAATGGCGTCTCATGCAGAAACTTAGAATGTTTGGGAACAATAAAAAATAATGAATGTAAAGCTTATTTCATGCCTGCCTCACGCAGACAAGTTCACTTTTCCAGCTGACCCAACATTGACATTTAGCTCCTCTTTTTTCCTTTTTTTGAGTCTATATTAAAGAAAAGTGGGTCTGCTTGGGGAGAGTAAACATTCCTCTCATAATTTCCTGGCGGGAGTAAAAAATCCATCCCTCATGAGAAAAAAATCCATTTTTGGCAGAACACCCTTTTTTTTATTGCTCAGGAACAAACTTCAGAGGTTTGTTCCCCCCCCCCCCCCCCCCCCCACGCCTGCATGCCTGTATGGCAAAAGGTTGCAGAAAATAAATTGGTATCATCTTATGAAGGAAACCATAAGGATTCTTTCCTCTAAAGGTGGGCAAATTTCGCAAGAGTTTCATACTTCCTAGTCGCGGCGG